GTTTAAGACTCCCTTCCACAAATGGTGGTGGATGCTGGATCAGTTGTTAATTTTAAATCTGCGATAGATAAATTTTAGATAAATTGCAAAGGTACTAAGGGATATGGGGCCAAAGGCAGATATATGCAGTTAGACCATGATCTCATTGAATGGTGGAACAAGCTTGAGGGGTTTAGTGGCCTGTTCCTATATTGCTACATTAGCGGAGTTTGTTTTACACGGAAGGCTGTTAGGACTTTGAAAGTTCAACCAGAAACAAATTTTTGCAAGGAAATTCAAGAACAATTAGGAGTGGAAAGGCTTTTAAATAAAACTTAAGAAAAAGTTGGAGAATGGTACATAAAATGGAAGCTCCAATGGAGACCAAAGAAAGGTTATAGCACAGAAGGTACAAAAACAGAAGTTGCTGGAAAAGGTCAGCAGGTCTGGCAGCATCTGTGAAGGAAATAATCAGAGTCTGAGTTTCGGGTCCGGTGACTGTTCTCCAGAACTGAACCTCAGAACCCAGTTCTGAGGAAGGGTCACCGGACCCAAAACGTTAACTCCTTCACAGATGCTGTCAGACCTGCTGAGGTTTTCCAGCAACTTCTGTTTTTGTTCCTGATTTACAGCATCCGCAGTTCTTTCAGTTTTTAGACAGCACAGAAGATGGCCATTCAGCATATTGTGACTGCACCAGATAAATAAACTGCCTACTCCAGTTTCATTTTCAAGCACCTTAATCTTGCAGGTTACAGCACTTCAGGTACAGATCCAGGTCCATTTTAAATGATTTGATGGTTTCCACTTCAACCATCAAACAGGGCAGCGAATTCCAGATATTCAACCTCTCTAGGAGTCTCCTGTAAGCCTTCTACAAATGACCTGAAATCTGTGCCCCTGGTAACTGACCTTACCACCAAGGGAAACAGGTCTTCTCTGTCCATCTATCATGGCCACTTATTATTTTGAACATGTTGATTAAGCGAATGCTTAGCTTCCTCTATTCTAAGAAAACCAACTCTAGTCCGTCCAGGGTAGCTGTAATTTTCAAGCCCTGGCAATATTCTTGTAAGTCTCCTTTGTATTCTCTCTTGAGCAATTATATCCTTCTGAAATGTGGTGACCAGGTCTGTACACAGAACTCAAATGTATCCTAAGCAGTGTCTTAGGTAGTTTCAGTATTACATCCTTGCTCTTGTACTCAACCTTGCCCAACAAAGTAAAGCATCCCATATCCTTCTTTACTATTGTATCTATGTGACATGCCACCCTCAGGGACCTACGGACGTAGTTCACATTATCAGTCCATGTCCAAATGCAATCAGGCCTGGACAACATTCAAGTTTGAGCTGATAAATAGCAACATTCACAATCGCACAAGTTCCAGGCAATGATTATCTTCAAATAGACAGCATCGAACTATCACCCCTTGACATTGAATGGCATTAGCATCACTGAAACCCCCCACTATCAACATTCTGCGGGTTACCACTGACCAGAAACTGACAGGGCTAGCTATATAAATACAGTGGCTACAAGAGAAGATCAGATACCAGGAATCCTGCATAGGGGTTGCATGGGGCCATGAGTTGGATAGAAGTTGGCTTGCCTGGGGCATGGCGAGTGTGTGGGGGATGGGAGGAAGTCAGCAAGTGGGAGGTTATATGTTTTCATCTTTGGATGACCATTCTTACATGGGTGTGTTCACAGTCTTGGGATTCCTCCCACCTCTATGCTCCCAACATGGAAACAATAACTGGGCCTAAGGTTTCGAGCAGAATGTCATAAAAGGGCTCTGTGCTTAAGTTAAAAATTAAGTGAATGGAATAATGTATGACAATTAATTGCAATACAGGGGATGTGTGGGGTCAGCCATAGTTCATATCATTTTGGATTCAAGAAAGGCAAATCAGAATTTTTTTTTTAACAGTGAGAGGTTTGGACCTATGGGAGGAGCAAAGGGATTCAGAAGGCCCTGTAGGAGATACTTCACAAATTCAAAGTATGATACCACGTCTCACAGGACAAAGTATGAGGGCAGGTTGTACAAAATAACATGTTATCCATTGAGTTTAGAAGGTTGAAAGTCTTCAAAGCGATTCCATTGCCTTCTCCTCTGGCTGGAGGAAATCGAGAATGAAAAGACATTTTAGATTTAGAGCTAGGCCAGTGTAATCACAAGGCTCTATTTCACGCAAAAGCTCATGAAAAACTGGAACTCTCCCCACTAAAATACTGTCAATTGAAAATTTCAAGAATTAAGTTTTTTTTATTCAAAGGGTACCAGACAATGTGGAGTATAGGTGGCACAGATTAGCTATCATTTAACTGAATGCTGAACAGAATCAAAAGATCTAAAATATGTAGGGGCAGAGACTTGATCTGGCTGCTCTTGGTTGACAGAAATTAAGTGGCCACAATAAGGGCCAGTTCTGGGCGTCAACATGGTGTTCAGTCTAACGTGCAGCAACCACTTAAAACAAATGGTAGTTACCTTATGTGTACATTCTTCAGTAGCCAATGTGATCTGACCTGTTACTGCCACCACCACTACAGCAAGCCCCTTGCCCAGTTGCCCATTCTACCTCTACGCCTTTCTGGTATTTACCTTTGAGGTTCTGGCTTCAGGACTTCTGTTTCTGACATCAAACTATCACAGCGGTTCCTGCTAGTTATAAGTAGGATTCATTCTATTCCACTAAATTGCAATACCGATCTTCAGTCACTAGGTGCTGGTATTGCTCTTTGCAGATATCATTTTATTCAATTGTCTGTTGGACGTTCTTAAAGGGTTTTATTGGCCAATGTTAAGAAACCTTATCAGAGTCAGTACCAGGCAGGTGGATTCCGAATTAGACATCAAGATAGAAGCAAAACAATCGGTAAAATAGGTCATCACAGGATATTTAGTTAGACTTGTCAATATTAAACATTGATGAATTTATAAACACCGAAAAAACTGCAGAAGCTGGAAATCAGAAACAAAAGCAGAAATTGCTGGAAAAGCTCAGCAGGTCTGGCAGTATCTGTGGAAAGAAATCAGAGTTAATGTTTCAGGTCCAGTGACACTTCCCCAGAACAGGTGATGAATTTATACCTGTTTTTCTGCTTGTTTTAAAAGCCTCTGGAACCTTTCATCCTCCAGCACCCACGCGGGCAGTTCTGTCTCCCCTTTCGCTTTCACCTCCTCCAACCTATTCTTTAGCTCCCTGAGCACTTGTAGCTCATCGTTCAGACGGCTATGCCATGTCAGTGATGCTTGAAGATCCAGCTCCAGGTCGAGGGAGGTTCGAATAGGGTGCTCTGCTGCTCTTTTCATAACCGGTTGGCAGAAAGTCTGTGCGGGGGCATCAAAACAAATTATTTTTAATGATTTCGGAACACTCACTTCTAGCTTGCAAACTCTGGTCATGCAAACCTTTAGGGGCCTTCACAAATCATGCTTGTACTTATCTCATGGAAATTTCTGACTGGAATCTTGTCATGTGAATTGACAGTTTTTGCAAGACTCCTCAAGATAAAACTCTTTAAGGGGTTCAAATTAGCTAAGAAACCCAATTCGGCAAGAAATGAAAGCAAAGTACTGTGGAAGCTGGAAATCGGAAATAAAAACAAAAGGTGCTGGAGAAACTCAGCAGGACTGGCAGCATCTGTGCTCAGAAAAGCACAGTTAACATTTCAAGGCCAATGACTCTTCTTCAGATCTGAGGAAGAGCCTTTATAGACTGAAAATGTTAGCTATGCTTCGCTCTCTCCACAGATGCTGCCAGACGTGTTGAGTTTCTCCAGCGTTTTCTGTTTTATTGCCATGTTCAGAATATGGATTCCCAGTAGGAATCCTCGTCTATTGGCCATATGTGATGGAAATGACAGAGGTTCTGACCATGGCTTTCTATCCACGTGGGAACTCATGGGCCGTGCACCATCCTTATCTTATACATGCAACTATAGACAGCGTGACCTCCCAGCATCAACATCCATTCAATAAATTAACCCTCTGGAGTGTGATTTCTTTGGCTTATCTAGTAATTATATTCCTTGTATTTTCTTTCTTCTTCCTGTTCAATATGTACCTATATAGATGCACAATTGGTGAAAACTTAAAGATAGTAGGAACTGCAGATGCTGGAGAATCCGAGACAACAAGGTGCAAGGCTGGATGAACACAGCAGGCCAAGCAGCATCATAGGAGCAGAGAGGCTGACGTTTCGGGCCTAGACCCTTCATCAGAAAAGGGGGAGGGGAAGGGGGTTTTGAAATAAATAGGGAGAGAGTGGGAGGCGGATAGAAGAGGGATGGAGGAGAGGATAGGTGGAGAAGAAACAAACAGGTCGAAGAGGCGGGGATGGGGCCAGGAAAGGTGAGTGTAGGTAGGGAGTTAGGAAGGGGATAGGTCAGTCCAGGGAGGACGGACAGGTCAAGGGGGCGGGATGAGGTTGGTCGGTAGGAGATGGAGGTGCGGCTTGAGGTGGGAGGAGGGGATAGGTGGGAGGAAGAACAGGTTAGGGAGGC